ACTAATAACACTATGCAGGTATACAATACACACTTATATCGTAAGTATGACCATCATGCAATAAAAACACTAATCTATTAAAAATACAGCGACATATCATTATCATTTAAAGTATACGACCCTACACTAAGTTAAATTTATAACGGTGTTTACAATTTACTGTAAGTTCATATCTTTGATTTAAGAGATCAGCCTTGTTTTTAAATCTAATAATTTCAAATTTTTCATTAAGGCATAGGTAACATGGGGTATATAGGGAGTTACATGTACGAGCTTTCTTAACCAAACTCCATTTAACCGTAGGTGTTTTGTTTTTATCTTTTAGATTCCAAAATACTTGGATAATGAAGTCATGTACCTATATTCACTGTGATTAAAGGATTGCATATGCCCCCGCCAGCGTTCCTTGAATGTTTTCATGGTAGAACCAATGTAAAACTTCTTTATATTTGGATTTTCAATTGTTGAAATAGTACCAAGATAGACTACAGAAGTAATTCCACAGTTAGTTTGTAGTGGGCAATTATTCAGATTCCTACAATTACATAAGTTGTTATTAGTATTCTTATAATTAGTATTGCAGTTAGTAACCTGTTGATTAGTCAAACCTTTTGAATTCCTATACTTGTTAAAGACTATGTTGTTATGTTTTTTAATTATCTGCTCCAGGTTATCAGCACAACTATAGCTTAATTTAAGGGTATTAGGATTAAATATTTTACTAAGTGGGTTAGTTTCAGGGTTGGGAAATGTTTTTGATTAGATTTAAAATATACGCCTAATTTAGTTTTAACCATAACATTGAAAGGGGAGTGAACCAAATAATCTTTCTAGATCTTCTTTTCTTATTATGGTTTACAATTAACAGGGTTTTATATTGAATAGTGGTATTTTGGTATCCACTATTTTTTAGTGCAGAATTATAAAATCACTATGTTTATTGAAAACCTCCTTATTATAAGAGTTAGCGCTAATTCTAAATTCAATGGAAGAGGGTATATGTTTGATAACCGAAGGGGGATGGTTGGAATTAGGATGTACGTATAATGGGTTGGAATTAACTTTCATATATGGTTGGAAAATATTTTTAGCAAGATCTAAGGTGACATCTAGAAAATCCACTTGTCTAACATTAGTAGTAACTATAGTCCTAAGACCTAAATCATTAAATACTTTATAGATCATTTTCCTAATACGGTCTACCTTAATTTTAGTTGAGTTTTTAACAACTAATAATCCATCATCTCTATATAATCCTACACTATCTGAATCTAGACAATCAAAGGCACTTAAATTATATAAAAGAAATAATCAACCAAGTCCGAAGCTTCAGCAGAATCCAAAGAACCCATGGAAATGTCAAAATTGTTGTTGGAAGACTTTTTGGTCCACTGTTCATCCTTGTAAATTAGAACAGAATTTCGACACTTCATAATGATGTCAATTTCACACTCAGAAATAGTAGAATATTCCCGGGCGAAGTCCAATGCCAAGGTGAAAAGATCCTTCGATATAGAGGGATAATAGTCGATAATATCGAACTGTATGAATGAACATTTTCCCTTATATCGTATGTTGTTAAACCAGTTGATGACATCATTTGTGTTAATCCACTGTATTTTTTCTTTTCTCAATAATTTTGTAGTTTTTAAACTTAATAGTGATTAAATTTGGATTTTAAAATTACCAGTTTTTAATTTTAATATTAAATTTTATCATATAATTTTATAATTATTGGTTAGTATAAATTATTTTTAATATTACACGTATTTAAAGATCTGAATAGCTATTATAGCAGGATTTCGTTGTCAAGCTTTTGAATCTTTCTATACTTCGTTTTTTTGATTGGTTATTCTAGCTTTTGTAACAATGCTCCCCCTAGTGTAGGATCGTTAATTAATCTGAAACTTTTAAAACCATTTATTTTATTTTCAACATCATCACTTGAGAAGACACAGAATGTGTTGAAACAAAATAGCTATTTTTGTAGTGATCTTATAACATACTTATGTTATAATTTTTATAAAAAAATAATTATATATATATATATATATATTGGGAAAATATATGACAAAATGGAAACGTTTTTCTCGTGACGAAACTTAGGAATGATGGATTCTGGGATATATATATATATATATATATATATATATATATATATATATGTGTGTGTGTGTGTGTGTACATATATCGATAAAAAAGAAACAAAAACTATAGATAAAGTTCACTTTCTTCAGAAACAGTGATTTACTCCAGTAGTTCACTGCTACTAAGCAGTGGCACACACATTAATTTGAAAATTCTTGCAAAAATCAAATCATGCTTGGATTGTAGTGAAATTTTCTGGACTTCAAAAACAAATTAAATTATTTTCTTAAATATCTTTATTAGAAAATCTTGATAAAAATATTTTTTTTTTACATTTTTTTACCTCTTTTCTTAATTTATATGAACTTAAAAAATTCAACGTGGCAATTTTTAGCAACTATATTAGTTAAATAGCAGAATCCTTTGAAGAATATAAATCACCAAGTATGTTTTGAAAATTGGATCCCGTCCCACCGAAAATCTGCTCTGAATCGAAAAATAAAAAAGGCAATAGAACTAAAACATTATTTAATTATAGAAGGTTTTAATTGGTCTCATGAATAATATATATTACGGACAATATTTTCTGCAAAAAAAGAAAATTTTGACTAATTTGCAAAAATTGTTTGTCATTTTTTTATAAATTTTAATTTTTATTTTTAATAATTCATAATATTTTAAAATTTAGTTTCAATAGTGTCACTATTAAGATAACTGGTTATTAATTAAAGCTAATCATATATTGTAAAGCTTAATACAATATGACGAACCCGAATATTTTAAAAATCTTTTGAATTGTTTTTTGTATGTGTAAAAACGTACCGAATTATATAATTATGGATGCCCAGACACGACACTATCATGAAATGAGAGCCACATCTGTAGTAATTTTATGGCCAAAATTCTCCAAAATTCAATGAAACATTAGATTATTGAGAATATTTTCTTAAATTTTGAACATTACCAATTACTTAAAAGATATATTGCCTAATTATTTTAAAGGTTAAAGCCCCCGTAGGATTCTATCCGTCATCGGCTGTCTCGAAGATTTTAAAAACGTATCGAAATCAATAAACAAAATTACGTCAGTTGGAAAATGCGTGTCTCTGATATTTTAAACTTTAAAAAACATTATAGTTTTTTTTACAGTCGGGTCAATAGTACTTCAAATCAACTAAAATAATTCCTCAAATGAAACTTCAGAAAAGTATATTTTAATTTGGGGATATTTTTTTTTAATAAAGAGATTTACATTTTTATAAAACTTTGCTAAAATAGCGTCAAAAGAATTTTTCTGAGAATTGTTAAATGAACAATATTTTCCAATCAGTTTAAATTAGTTTTGAAATAAAGCATAGTATTTTGCTGATTGGAAATATTAAATTTATTCTCTCAGCTTGAAATTAAAACTAAAATAAAAGCTTCAAGAAATAATTTTCATTATTAAAAATTCATTTTAAACTTTAAGTATCGCGTTTTGTGGACACCCACCCACACACACACACACATATATATATATATATATATATATATATATATATATATATATATATATATATATATATATATATAAAGAGATAGAATGCAATGAACAGAGTTACATACGTAGGTTAATAGAGATAAAGATAGAGAAACAAACTGATAGATAGATAGATAGATAGATAGATAGATAGATAGATAGATAGATAGATAGATTAAACGTAGCTGATTGACCGACGCAAGAGTTTCGGTTCGTCAGGGTTAGATTTTCGAAAAATCCTTTGAAATTATTACATCTCATGTTTATCCTCCTGGAAAACGAGAGAGAGAGAGAGAGAGAGAGAGAGAGAGAGAGATTTGATATGCGTAGATAGATTGATAAAGAGAAAGGTAGGGATAGATAGATAGATAGATAGATAGATAGATAGATATGAAGAGACTGGTGGATAGCAATTTTTTTAACAAGGTAAACAGAATTAAGCAGTTAGAATTGATACATGTATCCATATAAACAGACTGAGCGCCATAGATAGATATGAATGGAATGGTGCTGACAAATGTAGACAGAATGCAAACGATATATATATATATATATATATATATATATATATATATATATATATATATATATATATATATATATACTAGCAGTAGCCGGGGATGTAACAGTAAGAGATAGATTAAGTATCGACCATCATAAAGACTGAAAAATAAAATTGACAAAGATTATTGTTTAAGGTTGACGGACACGCATGTCTTTAATTAGTTTTTTTTTTTTTGCGAATTGGTCAAACCCAAACTCAAAGAAAAACATTGTTTTCAATCGTTATGAGTCTATCGATTGAATAGAATTTTATTATAAACAATTGTCTTGTAAATGGAATTTTTAAAAGCATTCTGAATGTAAAAATAAAAAAAAAAAAGTGTGCAAGACAATAAGAACACTACCTGCCAAAAAAGTGAAGTTTTGTTGAAATCGATTGAAAAATGTAGGAAATCCGTTTCTATATATAAGCGAACACAAACATACACACACACATAACCTTAGTTTTATAATAAGTATAACTCGAAATGAGTTTTCCCCCTTCCATTCTCGCGATAGCAATGCGTCTTAATCGTGTATTCAAATTGATTTCTTGCAAAACAATTGTGTTTTTCCAATTTTTGTCGCTGTCAGAACCACCGCAATGTAATTTTACGTAGTCCTGTGACGTTTTGTTGAAATCGGTTGAAAAATGTAGGAAATCCGATGTAATACATAAACGAACAGACACACACACACAACTTGGGTTTTATAATAAGTATGCTATATATAAATATATATATATATATATATATATATATATATATATATATATATTGAACAATCTCTGATGCATATGAAGATAGATAGATAGATAGATAGATAGATAGATAGATATATAAAATATCATAATTCAATCTGCGAAGAAGAATATAGAGAACGCATAATAATATAAATTAAATAATCGAGATATATTAAAGAAACAACATAGTGAAAGACAGAAGAAACGAATGAAAGCTATAAATAAGAAGCTCATAAGAGTGTTGACAATTAACTGAATGTAAATATTCTCTGAATTATATCAAACCATAATTCAAAATAAGTACACTGATAAAATTCATACGTTATTATCTACTAGGAATTATGCAAAATGTATTGATATGACCAACTTATATTAATAACATTTAAATAAAAAAAAAACGAAAGCATATTTCAATCATGTAAGGAAATTGAGCTATATAGTAAATTAAAGGAAAATAGAAAGCAAAGCGAGAATGCATGAAAAAAAATATGGCAGCTGCCGTATACGTATCGAAGCGATCGAAAAAGCCGACAAATCCGACATTGAATTTAGAATCAACAAAACCAAAATTTGCAAACGTTATCTCTTTCGCAAGAAAACGAAAATAAAATATGTAGAAAAATAGGAGAGAGACAAACAAACAAACAAAAAATAAAAATAAAAAGGCTTTCACAACCAACTAGCTCCAAGCCCAGGTGTACGCTATTTAACCAATCTGGTGAAATCGACCATGAAAGATATTTGCGTATTTCTCACCACGGTCAATAATTCGGCGTGATCGCATCACTGGGCACAATTAGCTAGCGCCGCCATTTTGCAAAGCGCGACACAGCAGAATCTAATATAGACGCACCATTAGTTCGCGCCATTTTTAATAATCCAATTTATCTATCAATTTATTTACGTGTTTATAGATAGGCTGTTTTATGGTGTTCGTTTGCCTCATGGTTAGTTAACACATGATATTTTCTTGTCACTTCTGCACGCAGGAGTGAGCGCGTTCGCTGTGTGGAAATCATTTATGGCAAAGAAATGCAGAAATTGGTAGGTATAATATTGAGAAACCCAAACGTAATAAGATGAGAATTCATTTCTTTTTAACACGGACACATATGCAGTCAGATACATATCAAAATGAATAAGTCTGTGTATATATATATATATGCGAATAAAGTCGGAAGAGAACCCGTCGTTTTGGCAAGTATATAAAACAATTTCAGGAAGAAAAAAAATTCTACTTCGACATGTTTCGACAAGGATCCAGCAGCATAAAAAAAATGAGAAAATATTTTCGAATACGTGAATTTTGAACGAAAAATAAGACAATGAAATAAATAAATGCAATGGATGAACACTGATATGAAATATCTTTTTTTTTTGTCTTTATTACGTCTTCTAGAGAATTTTGTTCAACAGAATCTATCGGACGTTCGTCTTTTGAATATTGCTTCGAATATGGTATGATGCTTCTGCTATGTTTTTAAAGATCCCTGACAAAATCCAAAGAAGAATTTGCAATGTTATTGGACCTGACCTAGCATCTTGGCTCCAATCCATTTCCCTCCGCCGTAATATTGTTTCTCAGTGACCTTTCTAGAAAGACTTTCATAGCAATTGTGCTGATGTTTTGGGGTTTTTTTTATGGTTACAATTTAAAAAATCTGCCCCACGTTAAACCACTATAATATATTTCGAGAGTAAACTTAGGTCATCCTCGAAATTGAAGTTTGTTTCTTTGGATATTTTTTTTTTTATTTGATACTTAATACTTATATAATTATTTTAAACAAAAATACACAAGATATTATGTTCTTTCTCAATTAAAACTCCATCTCTCTTTATCTCTTTCTCTCAGTCTCTCTTTCTCAACTCATTCTCCAAATATAATCACATATTACCTACAAATCAATTACACATCGGTGAACTATTCATGGTTAAGCGAGGGAGAAGAGCGCCACGTAAGAAATACAAGATGTTAAAATCTTATGGCCTTATTGCGATGACTTTCGTCGCGAGTTGTCACTGGTAACACGCAAGGAAAAAGAATCAGTGACTTTATAATCTAACCGCAAATATAAACAGTTTTGTAGGAGAAAAAAGCGACGTAAGTTTTGAATTGATTCTGAATAAATGAAAGAAACATGACCACAACTCATTTCTAATACTTATAAAATTCCACTTATATTCTCTACAGAGATTTCATCTATCTATCTATCTATCTATCTATCTATCTATCTATCTATCTATCTATCACTCTGTATATATATATATATATATATATATATATATATATATATATCGCACAAATAATGTTGGTGTTAATAAAATTTTACTCAGTGTAATACAACAGAACAATTAACAAATATATATTTTAGAGTTTTATGAACAACTTAATGTTGGGCATGAAATTCAGATTCGTGATAATTGTGAGGGTAATATATATATATATATATATATATATATATATGTGTGTGTGTGTGTGTGTGTTAAAAAAATTACCTCAATATATTCTACTTCAAGCCGTGTATAGAACGGCTATCATCAGCCTCTAAGCAGTGTACAGAACGGCTTGAAATTGACTATCTCTATCATGAGGTTATTTTATTTTGCTGTAAAAATACATATATTCTGTTCAAATAAATACATCGAGCTTCTGTGAATCAGTTTTAATAATTAATATTACTAGGATCCACCCGGATTATATACCAACGGATCGATTGCCTATTAGTGGTTCTTTTATAGTGTCTCGGGTTCAGTCTTTCTAACCGGCATAAGATTGACTCACTGTACTTTTACTATAAATATATTTCAAATATATTTTCAAGTTAAAATTCGCTTGAAAATGAAACAGCATTAGATGTATGACTGAATTTGAAGTTTTTAGCTTCTGATTTTGAAACATGGTAATTTCTGTGTAGCGATGGAACCATATTTTTAAATAAGTAAATTTATCATTTATTATACATATAATATATATATATATATATATAAAAAGAAAGAACAGTAAGATATATAATCCGGTGTTCTTATAGATATTTTTATTTTTACCAAATAGTGCTCGATGTAAATTTACAGAGCATTAATATTATAAATTAATTGATTTAAAATATGTTTTTCCGCTACACAGTTCTAACCATGTTTCAAAAATGGAAGCTAAATGCCCCGAATTTAATTTTGTAATTAAATTAAAGACATTAGTTGAGGATGAAATGGAACTAATGGCGGAAAAGACATATTTTAAATCAATTAATTTATATATATATATATATATATATATATATATATATATATATATATTCGTAGGTACAAAAGAGTTGAAAACCTACTTTCGCAGGGTTGTATACGCGTTGGGACTCTTTTTTTCCCACTAAGCGTGAGATTAACATTATTAAAATCCTCCTACATAGAACATTAACGATCTGCTCTGAGCCCTTCTTGAACTACGAAATCTACTTTATTAAGGATACCCTATCTAGTTTAGGTTATCCTCTTGATACTGTTAATTCAGTTATCCGCAGTAAAGTTGAAGAGTTCAGAAGTGCCGAGCTCTACACTGTTAAAAAATGCCCAGTTTACCTCAGATTACCCTGGATTGGTACCAAATTTTAAAAAATAGCTAAGCAAATTTCATCCAATGTTCGTCGTTGTTTTTTCTCTGCCGAGGTTCGGATTATTTTTCAAACTCGGCCTATGTTTCGTTCTGCGTGTAAAGACGATCTCCCTCCCCATCAAATTAATTCAATTATTTATAAATACGATTGTAGTTGCGGAGCCGACTACATAGGGAGAACAACTCAACGCTTAGACACGAGAATAAAACAACACGTTCCTATAAAAATTAGAAATTATACCTTGCCGTTGAATGGACGCGTCCCGAACACCTATAGTTCCGCCATATGCGAACACCTATTAAATAACAGAGATTGTGCAGCCAAATTTAGTGTTGACTGGTTCAGTCTGAAATCGGACGTCCGGCTGACCAGCTGATCGGTTGATCGGTTGAACTCTCTGCCTTCGGGCGGGAGGAACCCGAACGAGGCTACGCTGAAGGGCGGAGTCTCTTTCGGGGAGGTAAACCGACCCTGAACCCGTTTATACGGTTCAAAGGGCACATTTTTGGCCGAGCCCACGGTCTCGGAGATCCCTCATTAAACCTGCCTTGTGCCACATGATGCCCTCGTGGGAGGGGTGACTAAATACTAGTGTTGACGGGTTCAGTCTGAAGTCAGACGTCCGGCTGACCGGCTGACCGGTTGAACTCTCTGCCTTCGGGCGGGGAGGAACCCGAACGAGTCTACGCCGAAAGGCGGAGTCTCTTTCGGGGAGGTAAACCGACCCTGAACCCGTTTTACGGGTTCAAAGGGCATATTTTTGGCCGAGCCCACGTTAAACCGGCCTTGTACCACATGATACCCTCGTGGGGGTGACTAAATGCTAGCGCTGACTGGTTCACTGTGTTGTCCTGTTCACACACTTTATTTTATCTTAAGAATCTGGAGGACTTTTACATCGGGTCCCGCAAGCCTTCTTTGTGTCAATAACGTGAGTGTTTGTTGGGGCTCGCTGTCATTTGTCTATAGTTCCTTTTACTATTTTGTTTTTCTTCTCACAACTTCCTTTTATTGTACATTTTTCTGTGTTTAATCTTAAATTAAATCTCCCGTTGTAGCGTGAAGAGCGGGAGCGAAACCGCTTGCTTCGCCCGTTTTTAATATGTCTAGTAATATTAAGTGTTATACTTTTATTTCGATATATATATATATATATATATATATATATATATATATATATATATATCCACACTATATTTAAACATTTTGGGACGAACATTTAATTTTTTAAAAACATCTTATAATGAGATATTTTTTGTACTTTTTAATGTAAAATATAGAATTCCAGTGACCACATTTTATTTCTTTTTATTTTGGCAAAAAATAACCATTTATCTATAAAAATTATCATACAATACAATCATATTTTGTTGTCTTTAATAGAACCACCGCTAATATTCTCGGCTGAAATTTGATTTTGCGTGATGTGCTAAGCATTTTTCTCTCCAGAATCTATCTTACCAATCTATATGTCAACACACAGGGTACGCTGCTCCT